TCTGATTCTCTATTTCCCAAGCTAGCACAGTAGTCAAGACATAAAGCAATGAGGTAAGTTTTTCAAAGGAGGGAAGTCCACAAGATTGGGTCAAGGTACAAGAGGTAACACCCCCCTTACTCTTGTTCTTACCCCTAGTCCTAGCATTACCACTAGGCAATTATAACAAAAAAAGATCTTCACTTTTTGAAAGGATCAAATAAATTAAAAAGGGGTACTAAATCCCTAATAATTAATATACACATATATGAGTATATAAAAATATGAATAAAGATGTATACCTTGCAAACGGAACGGAAGAAATCCCGATGGAAAAGGAATGGAGACGGATGGAGAAGAAGAAGTTTCAAGGTGTTACAATTCTCCCCACCTTGGGTTAAATTTCGTCCTCGAAATTTGAGTTCATGGGAATAGCTGGGGGTAACGTCTCTTCAAATCCTCTTCCGCTTCCCAAGTCACGTTTGACCCTCGATGATGCTTCCATTTTACCTTGACCATGACAACCTCCCTGTTCCTCAACACCTTGGTTTTGCTTTCCAAGATGGCCTCCTGTTCTTCCACGCATTGATTGTTCTCATCAACCCGAATTTCCGACAATGGTATCACACTTTCTTCGTTTGCCAAACACTTACGAAGGTAACACACATGAAATGTGTTGTGGATTCCGGCCATTTCAGGTGGTAATTCTAATTTGTAAGCTTGGAGTCCCACTCGAGCCAAAACTTTAAATGGTCCGAGAAAACGGGGGCTGAGCTTTCCACGCTTTCCAAAACGGATAATGCCTTTCTAAGGGGATACCTTAAGCATAACACGGTCGCCCACTTGGAATTCTATAGGTCGGCTCCTCTTATCTGCGTAACTCTGTTGCCTATCTTGAGCCGCCTTTAAGCGTTCTCGAATACACTTCACCTTGTCGGACGTTTCTTGCACGATCTCAGGGCCGACGAACTATTTCTTACCCGCTTCAAGCCAACACACAGGAGTCCTACATTTTTTTACCATACAAAGCTTCGAAAGGTGCCATCCCGATACTAGAATGATAACTATTGTTGTAGGCGAACTCCACAAGGGGTAGGTGAGAATCCCAATTCCCGCCAAAGTCGATAACACACGATCTGAGCATGTCTTCGAGGGTTTGAATGGTCCGTTCGCTTTGACCATCGGTTTGAGGATCGTAAGCTGTACTCAATTTCACCCTCGTGCCCAATTCTTTTTGTAAGCCGCTCCAAAAATGGAAAGTAAATCGACTATCCCAATCTGAAACTATGGATAACGGTATACTGTGCCGCGAGATTACTTCATCGATGTATAATTTGGCAAGCTTGTCCATTGGCAAAGATTCACGCATAGCCAAGAAGTGAGCGCTCTTTGTCAGCCGATCAACCACTACCCATATCGTATCATGACTTCTTAAAGTCTTCGGCAGTTTGGTCACGAAATCTATTGTAATGTGCTTCCACTTCCAATCGGGGATTTCCAGGGATAGAAGGCTACCATAAGGTCGTTGGTGTTTCGCTTTCACTTGTGAACAAGTCACACACCTCTCTACATAACGAGCCACATCCAGTTTCATGACAGGCCACCAATAGGTCAATTTCAAATCCCGGTACATCTTGGTGCTACCCGGATGAATTGAGTATTTAGACTTGTGTGCGTCTTCCAGTAGCAGTTCATGATTGCCTCCAATCTTGGGTACCCATATACGTCCTCGAAATAACTTCAAGCCACAACCATGCCTATTTTCGAGTGGGAGCGAGAAGGTGGTTTGGAATTTACACAATAATCACAATGCCTAACTCCACTTCACACCATCCTTCACGTACATCAATAAAAACAATGGGATGATCCTCCATGCCACTAGACCTATTACATCCGAGTGGCACACTTGAAAAGGTGCCATAAGTATAATGGTAGCTATTTAACCATAAGGCTCCACGTATGTCCTAACTCTAGCAAAAATGATATCCCTCGCAAT